TATTTTGTATGAAAGTAAAATCTGATGAACTATTCAAAGTCATGGAACAAAAGTTGTTGTTTATAATAACAATGTATAATAATAAATAACCCTCTATAAGTGTATGAACAGTACATGTACGTATGTTACTAAACTACAGCAGTTATGATTATAACATTTTTATGTAAAAAAAACCGGCCTCAAAAGTGCTTACACGCTTACGGTGAGTTAATTATTGCGGTCTTCTCAACGATAACTGAAATGCATATGGAAGTCCTCATCAAAACTAATAATATGATTTAAACACAAAGTACTGCTGTACACTGTAAAGGAGTTGCTCTCATCTGTCTGCTGTTTCTATCTCCAGATTAGCTCTAGTCGCCATAACATTTTATTTTTATTGGAATTACATCAGAAAAACTACAACTGCCTCTGTGGCCGAACGGTTACCATGTTGGACTGTCACGCTGAGGTCCCGGGTAAGATTCCCGGGCCGGGAGAAATATATATAGTATGGCCTACATTTATTGCTCTCGTGAGTTTAGGTGTAATTTGTGGTTGTCTATGTGGGTGCCCATGGCACCCGCGATACAGGGTTTCCCTAGGTGGGGCTACGAGTTTGTGCCTTATTATTATTGCGGCACATAGATATTTATTTAAATCGGTTAACGGAAGGTGGGTGAAATTCAATAAACCGTACTCTTCCCTACCTAATTAAAAACCCTGTTGGAATATTTTTTTCAAATTTGAATGGGTCCACTACTGAGGTATAGTTGAAGAAATATTATTTACACTGATGAATGTTATTTCTTGGAACGGGTTATCCTTTCTATTACAATAGAGTAATAAAAACATTGACTCTTCATTTACTCAAAGCGTACATGGACTTAATGATCTTGGTCCATCGTAACAGTCATTGGTGCGCTGAGCTTTTTCTGAATTCTGTTTTTGCATAATTTCTTTACTCATCAAGTCGATTTTTTTAACTGTAGGTACTTTATTAAATAACGACTGCCAACTATTTTTTTACTTATTCAAAAAAGTTAGTTCCGCATAAAAATTTTCAATTGAATTAAGTGCCAATGCGAAGAATTGTTTAAACAGTTGTTTGCACTATACAGATGGCACGTGAGTCACAACTAGACAGCTCACACTTTTGTCCTATTGTACTCTAAAGATAAAGTAATAAGACGAATCGATGCATATAATTTTGAAAGGTTAGTTGGAAGAAATCTCTTTATGGGATAAGCTCGCCTTTGTACACAAATATTTAAATTGTTTCTGAAAATTTGTAAGTTACTTTGTGGTACAATAAAGTGTTTAAATAAATAAATAATAATATTTTGTCAACTATACCCCTCTCCAACAAAACAAATGAGAATCTTCAAAACGTCCGAACAATCGCATAACATACACACAAAAAGTAGAGTCGAACTGAGAACTCCGTTTTTGAAGTCGGTTAAAAATGCGATCAATAACTACGGGTAATACTATGTATCAGATCCAACTCCGAACTTGCAGCAGGTCGTAACGATAACCGTACTGGCCTGTCTGATAACGATAACAGTTTATCATTGTGTCAGTTGGTCGATATTTCTTCCGCTTGCTACACTGTAGGTGAGTGATTTTAAGAACATGTATTTATTGTTATTAATATTATTTTTATTGATTTTGAAATGTAATCTGAAACAGGTTGTAAATCATTGAATTTTGGTCAATGAAATGCTTTTTAAATAGTGATTTTATAAATACTATAGGCGAAATGGCAATTCTTTGTCGAAGCGCTGTTCTTTCTTATTTTTTTTAAATTAATTTTCTATTTCACAGTTCTGCGCATTTGTGCGCAAAAAATTTGTAATTGTATAAATTTCCAATATACTTAATATGGTGACCTTTGACCTCAATTATCTCAGATCGAAATTCCAAATTTGGACTTCGTCCTACCATGGTCCTACCTGTACAATTATATTTTTATACTAGTTAAAAATTTTGTAGTTATATTTTTTTTTCCAGCATTTCGTGATTTTTTTAAACATTAAAAATCAGCTTAATCAATATAATAATAAGTATAAATAAAACACAATTTATGTGGACTTTTCTAAAGTGGTTTAGGCCTGGGTGTGCTGGGTAGTGCCCCGGAGTGAATTTCGTGGCTCTTGGTTCCGGGTTCGATTCCCGGTAGTACTAATTTGGGAAATTATTCTTTCTAAATAGTTTCGGTCTGGGTATTCTGTTGTAAAGCAACCACCATAGTTTGCGCTACGCAGTTCGACATCGCTCAGCCGCTGTTTGCATTTCAAACGAAATATGCCTTATTGTTGAGAAAGTTATACTGTGTATTGCCCGTGGGAACACAGCTGCCGACGATGGAATGCGTTGGCCGTCGGGCGCCGCGCTGCGTAGCGTTTTTGGTAGAACAATTTTATTTAGTAGAGAATTGTTCTATACTATATTGCACTTTATAAAGGGTGCCCGGCACAGGCTGTCACCGTCTGCCGCGCCGCTTGCTGCATCTTCTTTTTAATTTTTTGTTTAAAGACTATTAAGTAGATGATAATTTTTTTGTTGCATTGCTCGTTTTAATGGATCGTAGTTCTGATCGTTCTCCTTAGGCGACCTTAAAGAGGATGATCAGCCAATTTTTCAGTAATTAAAAAAGAAAATTTAATTTCTCGACTTTTTGGGTTCTCGAGGATATTTTTCTCGTTTCGAAGTTGTCCAGATTTCTCGATTCGATAAATTTTGAGCAGAAACCCTAGCCAATGCGCTCTATGCTCTTCGATAAAAAAAATCTCATGAAATAAAGACGTGCATATTGTATCAAGAAATATTTTTTTGTAGATCTCATCATAAATTGACGACAGTATGTATCGTTTATTTTTCATATTGCAATATTTTTGATATTTATCTAGTGCCCTCTCAATCAACTACTACGTCGTAACCATTGACCTACTGTCGCAGCTCATTGTTTGTAATTATATTGCGACAGTTGGTGAACATGGTGCGAGTATTAAGCCCAGAATTAGCTGAAATTGCAAGAAATGAGTTGAGTGAGCATCCAAAACGCTTGCAAGATGATTTACAACATTTGAAAGATTGGATATCGAAACAGCCGCATTTAAAAGCAAGAACAGGTAATTTTTGTCTAAGACTATTTTGACATAAACGAATAAATAATATTTGACATCAAACAATCTGTTACCAAGTCATTCTAGATGATAAGAGAAATTATCATGTTGAAAAAATGATAAAACTCATTACGAGTTCATCCCCGTGTGGAAAACTTGTCATTATGTAGATAGATAGTGATAGATTTTTATACAGGCTGTTTAACGTCATAAGAAAGGTCGTATGGAATGCATATGTTTAGTGTGGTATCTGTGGTATATGCCGCCAGATGGCATAAGTAGTATTCTTCCTTGCGCTATCAAAGTGTTCACACTATTAGTAATAAGCGAATGTTTTTTTTCTATTATGGTCATTCTTTGTCCGGTGGCGCAATCAAGCGAGTAGCGACCGACTATAGAGTCAGTTGTAATTATTAATACAAAGATCGAACACTCAGAAAAAATTCCTTCGATCCGGCCGGATTCGCACCGATATCTTCTAGCATACCGTGCCAGACGCAGTACCAAGTAAGCGTGGAACCAGCGCACCTCACGAATTTTTCTATGTGCTTGTTGTCGTGTCTTTGTATTTGGTTTTTCAACGTCTTTTTAGTCGTAGCGCCATCTATGAGAAATCTATGAAAGTTTTATCACCCAGTTAGTTACCTTTATAGCTACCAGGCCTGGCGAGAGATGTCGCTATTCACTGTATTCTAAATTTTTATTGAATTGATATTCAATTATTTTTTGTGAAATTACTCCACTAGTTTCATTGACTTACAATTATATGGACGTCGGGTCCGCGCTAAAAAGTGTCCGAACTTATAGGGCGTTAAAATCGTATACAGAGCGTCATTCACGCTTTAGTCTTCGTTTGTTCGACTGACAGCGAAGCAAGCATAATTAGACAGTACTTTTTTTTTTGTTTTTGCGTGGGGAAATCCTCTGAGGATACCTCTCCGCCGCGGGGGCAGCGGGACTTCTACCGGCTAAAACCCCACGGTGGCCTTCTCGGGTGCTCTAGTGGGAAGGATCCGGGATCGACTTTGCGCACCGGAACCCCCCCAGCACCTAGGAGGAGCTACGTCCTCCCCTCCTCTCCTCACGACGAAGCGGGCCACACCGCCCCGTCGTCCTCCTCGCGGCTGCCTAACTTACTGGCGAACGAAGCCCCCGCTCCGATCGCCTGCAGCCGCGAAGGTACGCCGCCGCCGAGCGGGATCTGCCCTCTCCCGATCACGCTCGGCGACCTCCTTCTGAAGCATCACCGCTTCACAGAAGGAGACCACTGCCTCATGGGACTCTTGATCCGCCAACATAGCCGCTACTATGCCTGGCGGAGAGAGATCTCGCCCGATCCGGGCAACCAGGATGTTCCGTTCGGAGGCCCATGCGGGGCACTCCTCCAGCGTGTGCTGGGCGGAATCCTGGTCCCTCCCACAGTGGTGGCACTGCGTCGTCGACTCGCGTCCGATCCGATTCAGATACTCACCGAAGCATCCGTGCCCGGTGAGTATCTGTGTCAGTCGGAACGTGGTGACGCACTTCCGCTGGCTCAACCAGACTTCGAGGTTGGGCAGGATCGCGCCGACGGCGCGCTGGCGCGAGATCCACGGCTGTTCCAGCCTCTCGCACCACTTCTCGAATGCCCGTCGGCGCTCCTGCCACCGCACTTCCGGCGGCGCAGCTTCCTCCGCCTGGCGGAGGCGCGCGTAAATACGCGCGTCCATCTCCGCCAGAATGTCCAGCGGGGGAAACCGCGCAGGACAGTCGCCGCGTCGAAGGATACGGTGCGGTACCCTCGTGCGATCCTTATGGCCATGCGGCGCTGCACGCCATTGACCATGGCTCTGCAACGCCGGACGCCCGTCAGTCGGTGTGACCAGACGGGTGCCCCATACAAGGCCACGGAACGCACCACCCCACCGTATAAACGGCGAACTTCCTCCGAAGGGCCCCCCAGGTTGGGCAGCAACCGGTGCAATGCACCCGCCACCCTATCGATCCGGGGAACCAGGCGCCGGAAGTGCTCCTCGAAATCCCAGCGACCGTCCAGGATAAGGCCCAAGTACTTTAAGTACTGCCCCACCTGGACGTCGACGTCACCAACGCGAATAGAGAAGCTGGGCGGTTCCCTCCCTCGCGGGAGTTTGTGGAACCACAGCGCCTCAGTTTTCTGAGGCGCTACTCGCAAATACAGCTCTTCGATTTTTTCGACGACGCGAGAAACCCCGAGCTCAGCGAGCCGGATGGTCCTCTCGAAGTCCTCCCCTCCGGCGAGCACCAGGGTGTCATCAGCATAACACACCAGATGCACGCCCGGGGGGAGTGCGACCCTCAAGACAGCATCGTATGCGAGGTTCCAAAGGAGTGGTCCAAGGACAGACCCCTGAGGAACCCCACACACGACCTCTCTGCGATGGCTTGCGCCATCCCGACCCGGGTACGTAATGTACCTGTCGCATAGGTAGGACCCGACAACTCGCTTCAGGTACGGAGGCACTCGATGATATTCGAGCGCCTCCTTAACGGTCAACCAGGGCAAGGAGTTGAAGGCGTTGACGATATCCAGGCTTACCGCCAACGCCACTCCGCCCCGGGACAGTACCTGTGTCGACATAGTACGAACGTGAAGGATCGCGTCCACTGTCGACCGCGCCTGCCGGAATCCGTACTGGTCTTCCGACAGGTCAGGCCCTACTTGCGACAGATGCCCGCTGAGCCGCTCGGCAAGTGTTCTTTCAAACAACTTGCCGGCCTCGTCCAGCAGGCATATGGGTCGGTATGCAGAGGGTGAGTCTGCGGGTCGACCTTCCTTCTTTATAAGGACCATCCTCGCCGACTTCCAGCCGGACGGGAACACACCGCTCCGGAGACAGCTGGTGAACAGCCGTCTCATGTGGTTCCACAGTCCGGCGTGGAAATTAGACAGTACTGCGATGACATTACAATTTGAATTCAACGTTTTAGCTTTTTCATATTCCTTTACATGTCACTACGTTTAAATAGGTTGACTTGGGACATTTTTTTCGTGGTTTTTGTATTAGACCCGTCGTCCATTTATTTGTAAGTCAATGTAAGTCAACTAGTTTGTTATAATTATTAATACAAAGATCGCACACTCAGAAAAAATTTCTTCGATCCGGCCGGATTTGAACAGACGTCTTGTAGCATACCGTGACAGACGATATACCAACAGCTTAGTTGGCAACAAAATTTAAAATACAGTGTCAGTGTCAAAAGAAGTTTTGATAAAGTACCCCTAAGACACATTAAACTTTTCGTTTTTGACCAACTCCAGAAGGGATGAGTGTTTAAAAAAATTCGATTTAATATCGTTATGATGTTTATGAACAAAACCGATATTGATCGAGAGAAATATGTCGATATTTCGATATATTGATATTCCTTCCAAAGACAGTAGTAGCTTATTGCCAAATAAATATATTCCCAAAATATATTTATTAAGTACAGTATAAAATGAAATTCGGAAAATTAAATACATGCGTCAAAGTTAAAGAAAATTTTGTTAAAGAAAGATTAGGTAAAAAGTGCAGTCGTGGTCGCCTGCTGCAAGATGTCGAGAGAAAAGAGTTAACCATCATGTTTAACATCACAATCTTTTCTTGGCTGAGCCTTCAGCCTATTTAAATAAGCTAGAAGGCTCAGCCAAGAATATCGAATGTTAGCAAATTATTTTTTTCTTAGATTTTGTATTTATACTTTATACTGTACCTTCATACCAATTTATATTATCCCTCAAAACGACGCTTAACAAAATATGTAATTGGTATTATTTGCAAATATTCATATAGCAATTGTGTTAGCTGTGATAAAAAAATATCGAAATTGATTCTCGAAAAAAAATCGTCTTCTGATGTAACGAGATTAAAAATATCGACGATTTATATTTTGGTAAGTAAGGTATATTACAGAGTTGTCAAAAATTATGCCGGCTGCACTAGGCCATACACTATAAGTTCGGACACTATTATATTTCGTCGCTTCATTCTCGATATAATATTTAACCAGGTAGTTTCCATAACTCGATAGGCAACAATGCACTGTTTTTAGAGAAAAAAAATGTTTTGACGTTGACATTCCCTACCAGGCATCAACCGCCATTTTCTATCCCCATTCCTTTTTCGTGCGTGGCAACAAGCACACCTCCACTGTTCCGTTAAAATGTCAAACCGAACAAACTTAGAAAAAATCGAATATTATAAAAGTTAACTGAAATACTTGCAAAATACAGATGCCAAACGTCATTGGCGTCATAGGATCGTAATATCATCGGACAAGTCGGACATGGATCACGGTAAGATTTTTTCTTACGCTCATAAATAATGAAAATAAAAAATTAAAATATTCATTTTTATCATATAGCACTACTTGCTACTTCCGCAATGATAATAAATGTTCGCTTTCATAAATAGCAAATGTGAATTTAACCTACAATTAATAAAACATCGGGTTACCTGCGAGTTATTCCCGATAACCAAATCGAACATGGGTGAAAGAAAATCCGAACATATACATATACTAATATGTGCATTTTACTTGATTTATAATAAAACAGCCTCGGGGTTAACCGCGAGCTAAAGACGATAATGAAATCGACTGCGAGTCGATTTTAATTTGAACAGTATTAGTACCTACGTGCTAATAAGTAACGTATATTTTTTATATTAAACTACGTCGGGGTAAACGGCGAGTTAACCACGATAATGAAATCTACTGCGAGCCGATTTTTATTTGAACAATATTAGTTCTTACATGCTAATAAACAAAGATTTTTTTAAATAAAGTTACGTCGGGTTTAACTATCAATTAACCACGATAATGAAATCGACTGCGAGTCGATTTTAATTTGAACAATATTAGTTCCTACGTGGTAATAAGTAAAGAATTCTTTTAAATAAAATTACGTCAGGGTTAACTGTGAATTAACCACGATAACGAAATCGACTGTGAATCGATTTAAATTTTAATAGTATTGATATTTACATGCTAATTAGTCAAGTATATTTTTCAAATAAAATTATTTCGGGATTAAGTGCGAGTTAGCCACGATAACGAAATCGACTGCGAGTCGATTTTGATTCGAATAATATTAGTACCAACATGCTATTCAGTCAACTAAATTTCTTAAATAAAATTACGTCAAAGTTAACTGCGAGTTAACCACGATAATGAAATCGACTGCGAGTCGATTTTAATTTGAACAGTATTAGTTCTTACATGCTAATAAGCAAAGAATTTTTAAATAAAATTACCTCGGGGCTAACCGTGAGTAACTGCGATAAGAAATCAACTGCGAGTTATTGCAATTTAAATCCCACATACGTGTAATTAATAAGAGTTAACGAAACACGCCGTAGTTAAAACTCAATTACCTATTTAATACAATTCTAAAGAAGATCGTTAATGGTTTTAGGCGACAGCCTCCTGCAAAACCAATATGCAGCTTCGCCAGCAATACCATTATGTAAACAGGTACCAACACCAGTCTGTAATACCTGGCATTAGTTTATCGCTAGACGACAATAGAAAAAATTGCATATCACAATTAAAAACTTAATTGACTTGGGAGCAAAGTGCTGTTCTAGAAAACATCAATACATTTCTAGTACTTTTTTAGCCCCAAAACGCAACGTTAGTAGTCGTTTCATATTGAACATAACGTCCTTTAACAAATTTGTAACAAAAAGTCATTTTAAAATGGAGGACTATCGAATTGTCTCAAAATTGATACCCCGCAGGGGTTTCATGGCCAAAAGGCCTGAAAGAGGTGTATCACTAACATCTATCTGCGAAGCAGATCGAAAGTACCACACATTTCAGTATTTATCTTGTGGTTCGAATGAAATTGAAACCTATGAATTTACTGCTCTGGCATATGCCTTGTCCACATCATCGAAAGTGTTTACCAAAATCATGAAAGAAGTTGTAACACATTTGAGACAAGGATTTAAGTCCGTGGTATATTTAGATGATATTTGTTGTACAGTAGCTGGTTATGACGATGATACATCAATAATGTTAATGCAAACATTAACTTATTACAATGTTTAGGCTTCATCGTTGATTACGGAAGTCTGTGTTAGAACCATGTCAAGTTTGTGAATTTCTAAGATTCAATTTTGATTCATGAAATTTAAGTATAAGTTTACCTTTACAAAAACGTCAAAAAATTTACCATTTACTTTAAAAAATAATGAGGCTACCCCGATGTACCATACGGGAGTACGCTCAATTGATTAGTGTCTTCATCTCAGCTTGCCCAGCCACTAAATACAAAATTACTGGAAATACAGAATATTCTAAGTCTTCAAAAACATGGCGGTAACTACGAAACAACAATTTATCTTCCATATGATTTAAGTTGGTGGACAGACAATATTTACTCGACTTCATCGTATATGAGAACCTCGAAGTTTTAAATTAGAAATTATACAGATGCACCTCGCACCGGTTGGGATTCCGTATATAGCGCGAGTAGCACAGGAGGCCAACGGAAGGTTGTTGAGAAGAAATACCATATCAATTACTAAGAATTGCAGTATTCTTATATTATATTAATATAATCTGATTGTGTTATATTGTTGCGAATACGCAATACTACGGCGATCAGTTGCATAAATCGTAAGGGTGGGATCCAATACCCCCACCCTAACGATTTAAGTAAACAAATTTGGCAATGGTGCGAAAAGCTCAACATAATTTTGTATGCATACGTGCGTATTATGTAAATACAAAAGATAATCGCGCCGATTTAGAATCTAGGAAGACTAATCCCGACACCGAGTGGGAGTTGTCCTCTCGCACCTTCCAGACCATTGTCAGACGTTTCGGACAACCCGAGATTGATCTTTTTGCAACCCGCACCTATGCCAAATCCGCTATTTTTGTCTCTCGGTTTCAGGAACCAGATGCATTTGCCGTAGATGCCTTTACACTTAATTGGATTTCTCATTTTATTTCTACGCATTCCAACCCTTCTTTTTATTATTGAAATGCATACACAAAATTATTGATGACCAAGCAAATGGTACTCTTGGTTTTCCACATTGGCCTTCCCAGCCATGGTTCCTTCTGCTGCAAAGCCTGTTGGTTTTGCGACGTGATATATTTTAACTCAAGCGAATCATTATTAAATCTTATTGCAGGCGACCTCATCAACTGCACATCAGCCTTTCTGTCGTTACCAGCGCGCCCTTTGCCTCCCGCGGTGTCCCACAAGAGGCGATCACTTTACCCTTAGCTTCTCTTTCTTAAAATACATTTGGACAATATAATGTGTCCCTAAAGCTCTGGTAGGAATTTTGCAATAATAACAGTCTAAATCCCTTTAACATATCAATGACATAAATAATCAAATTCTTAACGCAGAAATTATAAGTTCGTACAGAACCTCGAACAGCCATCGCTCTGCTTTATCTCTTTTATAGCCTGAAACAAGCTCAGACGCCCGCATAAAAAGATTACCTAAGGGCATTTAGATTGAAACCCAGTGCACCAAAATATAGCAATACTCGGAATCCCCAAGTTGTTCTCGCATTAGTTTCAACGTGGTTTCCCAATACAGAACTTCCGCTTGAAAAACTTACGAAAAAACACGTTATTTTACTTGTACTTTGTACTGCACATCGCGTACAAACTGGCATTGATTAAAATGAAAAACATACAAATATCAGATATTAATATAATTTTCCATATTTTAGAGACGATCTAAGTATTTGCCTTGTCGCAGTTTTTAAACATTATATTTTGGTAATACAAAATAAGACAACTGGACGTCAGGGAACGCTCTTGATGACACACAGTCAGACCGTGAGCTGATGTGTACGGCAAGTGTGTGGACGGAGTAGTGTGGGCACGCCAGCCGTGCGCGCGTCTCAAATGCCGATAGTTCATACGCAAGGCTGCGAGTTGGACTCCGACATCTCACATCCTTTGTGACATTTTATAATAGACTAATACTTACTGAAGGCGAACACACGTTCGCAAGAACCATTTGCTTACAACATAATACGCAAATTGTACTATTCTAAATTAATATAATATAATATATAAAATTATTATATGATTGTACGATTTGAAAATTGTTATGATTGATGATGAGAAAAACCGTTACATGTTCATATCTATATATATTTTGAATAAAAATATAATATAGTTATCGATTAAGCCTCTGGTTTATAATTTACATAAAATCAACTGAAAGCAAAACTGAATACTCTAAAACTCTACCTGGTTAAATATTCTATCGAGAATGAAGCGACGAAATATAATAGATGATCAAACGAACGTCTTGAAGTGAAGTTCGATCACTGTTATGTGAGTCGCTTCATTCGAAAATATAATCAACACCCTCCCTCCCTTGACATCATCATATCAGAAATAAAGATTCTGAAACTCCCAAATAAGTTTTGCTTCCCACTCTAAAGGGAATGAGGATAGAAAATGGCGGTTGATGCCTTGTAGGAAATGTCAACGTCAATACCTTTTTTAACCGTGCAGTGTTACCTAGCAAGGTAAGGAAACTACCTGGTTAAATATTGTATCTTCGAATGAAGCAACACACATAATAGTGATCGAACTTCACTTCAAGAAGTTCGTTTGATCATCTAAAATATTTGTTAAGCAGTGCACTCACTAGTGAGCTGTAAGCATGTTATGTAACCAAAAATGATAGCGTGTGGGTGGTTACGAGCTTGCCGCAAGCGGAACGGGTGCGGTACGCCGACGATAACCAGGTACTCATTCTAGCGAGCGAAGACTGTTTCACGCGTACGCACTAGAACCTCGATACTGTATTTGTCACATTACAATTACAGCTCGCTAATGATTACCCAGCTTAAGTTTGTGAGAAACTCTAACAATTAGTATCATTTGACTTATACTTCAAAATGTTAATATTTCAGACGATCAATGGCTTGTCGGTATACTTCGAGGGTGCAAGCACAGTTTGGAGCGAGTAAAGAAAAAGTTGGATCTGTACTATACTCTAAAAATTACGGCTCCCGATGTCACGCTTCGGATGAAGCCTACGGATCCTAAATTTTTGGATTTTTTGAGACTTGGGTATGCGAAAAGATATCTTATTTAAAATATATTTTCCAACTTTTAAGGAAATAATTGCTTGACAAATATTACACATTATTGTATATATTAAAATGAAAATTAAGTTAGACGAGTACCTGTTTGTGGATATTTTTATCAAATTTGAATTAACTTCAGTGCCTATTGTTTTCTTCGAACATTTAAAGAATTGTTGTACTTCTTATCTGCTATTTACCGTGAACAATTATAATTATTTACACCTTCTTAAATAAAAATATGCGTTTGTAATAAATTTCTCACGCTCATAATTCGTAGTATTCTTAGTGCTCCAAAATAAATTCCGTTACTGTGGTACTTATAGTACAGGAAATTTCTTAGTTCAGGCTTGGTAATTAGTGTGGTTGGTTGGCACATTATTATTCTGTCCTTTTTGGCAAAATGTTTTTTAATTAAATTTTTATTGAATTGATATTCAATTATTTTTGTGAAATCACTCCACTAGTTTGTTATAATTATTCATACAAAGATCGAACACTCAGAAAAAAAAAATGTTTCTTATTAATTTTATTGAATAGCACGATATTTTACTACCGTGATATTCCATTTTTTTGTGAAATCAATCTACTAATTTGTTATAATGATAAATACAAAGTCGAGCACTATGAAGCATTCCTCCAGTGCCTTCAGCTTACCGTGCCTGACGCTATCCCAACTGTGAGCTACGGAACGAATCAACAGACCTTACGAATTCTTAGGAAAAAAATTTTTCTTCATTTATTTTGAAAGAAATGTCCACATTGCTGTGGTGAGCAAACAAAGTGCTGCGGTTAGGTTTTCTATAAAATCGCAAATACTTCATCAAAAAATTAAACTTTCATTAAAACTTTTCCTTCAATTTTTTTTTCACTTCGCACTAGGGAAACTCTAGTGCGAGTTAAACCCTGGGGTTAAAGGAAAACCACAAATTACACTCAAACTCACGAGAAATAAATGTAGGTCATACAAATATTTCTCCCGGCCTCGGAATCGAACCCGGGAACTTTGTGTGGCAGTCCAGCATGGTAACCATTCGGCCACAGAGGCAGTTAAATTGCATGGAAAGTAAAAAAAATAGCATTTTTAAAAACCACAAAATTGAAGTTATTATGTTTATTATAAAAAGATCATAAACATATAATAAATATATATTTACTTTTTATATTGTTATATATATATATATATATATTAAATTATTTATTTCTCAATTTGGTTCAACAATGGTAGATCTGGTTCTCCCATTAAGCAAATGTATGCTTATGTTGGGAAAACCTTGAAGCCTTATCCATATACATACTTATACATATATACATTTCTTCTGTACCTACATGGATCTATACAATAATTTATGTTTATACAATAAAACATGATTCACATCGTGAAACCATATATGAATACAGCTAAGTATAATATATCAGGAAGTATTACGCCATGCTCTAACTCTAACTAGGTTATCACTATTACACCATAGTGTGCTAATAGTAACTACCTACTTAGTAGGTAATATGAAAGAGGAAATATTGAGGTGTTCGTACGAAACTTGTACATACAAGTACATAATTTACAGTTTGACACGCATATACAATAATATACAAAAAAATTACAATAGACAATTTATGTACTGAAATGTTATTATTGCTTAGTTTTTTGTTTGAAAATCCTATGCCAAAATTTTTTATTCCTGTTCAAACAACTGCGTAAGATTAAGTTTGTTGAATATCCCGATGTTTTACTACTATGACATTCAATTATTTTTGTGCAATTGCTCCACAAGTTTGTTATAATTACTACTAATACAAAGATCGAACGCTAAGAAAAATTCCTTTGATCTGGCTGGATTTGAACCAGGCCCTCAACGTACCGTGCCTGACGCTGTCCCAACAGAACTACGGAACAAACCAGCAGAGCTTACGAAACTTACGAACTTTTCTATATGCTTGTCACAGAATTTTGTTTTTTAGAATACAGTAGAATAGAATAGACATTTATTGTAACGCCACAACACATAAATACAAAACAAAAAATGATAAAACAGACAAACAAAATAAAATAAAAAGAATTCATACACAAAGTAAAAAAATACAATGAAAAAACAACATGAAATAAGACAAATCTGACAAAAAGCAAAAAACAAAATATGACAACTACAAATTTTGTACTGTCATTTGTGCGGTTATGGCTTACGCAAACGGACTTCATTGAGCCACAGCCATAATTGATTGTGGCGCTGATTTTCAATGAGCGTAGCTCCATCTGTGAGAAATCTATGAAAGTTTTTCCACCAGTCACTCACAAGAAGGAATTTTCGTTAGTGTTCGATCTTTGTATACAGGGTGTCCCAAAACTCAACGTCAAGCGGTCACTGGGCGAGAGGCCAGGTTATATCAGTTCTGGTAAAAATTAAAAAAAAAATCCATGTCACTTAGTTAAGTGATAATAGGCATTTTTTTGAAAATGTTGAAAATCGATACCCTAGACCACATGTTTAGGTACTGTCATCACAAATTTTCAAATTTTGGAGTGATTTTTTTTTAACGTCATCATAAATAACCATGCTATTTATTGCAGTCACAAATCAAACAATAAACGTTATGAGTTTAGTAAAAAAAAATAAGTTTCATTGAGTCTTAGCTTAAAAAAAGTATGTCAGCTAGCTTTGACACTTCATATTTAAAAAAAAATGTACTACACTACCCTGGGCAAGTTGTTTTAAAAGATGGCCCATATAATCAAGATTTCAAAATGGTACAATACTTGCCACTCTTCATTCCATAAAAAATATTATAACTTATTTTTTGCTAAAGGAGCTCGTTTAAAAAAAAACTCATGCCATGATAAATAATACTTTTGTGTGCTTAAAGATTGTGTGAGTGCTTTAACATCGTGGAAGTGAGATGGTCATATGTGATAGAGTGAGATGGATAGTGACAACGTATTAAACAAAATAATCTACCCTAACACATGTGAGTGTGTCAACTTAATAATTAGTCGATTGTTGTATTATAATAAATTTTAATCAAAATGAAACGAAAGGAACTATTGTAATACTTTAATGTTAAAGTAAATGCTCAAATTGTTTGCCTTCGGCACGAATACAGGCTCTGCATCGCCTCACAAAAGATCTTTTTATCAATCGTGCGATTTGCTGCTTCAACAATTTTGTGGCGTAATTGGGCTAGATTTGCTATAGGTTTTGCATATACTTTTTCCATTATGCAGCATCAGTAAAAAAAATCAAGGGGGTTTAGGTCCGGAGATCGAGGAGGCCACAAAATTGAACCAAGGCGCCCAATCCACCTTCCGGAATATTCCGTGTTTAAATAATCACGTACAGAACGAGCATAATGCGCTGAGCAACCGTCATGTTGAAACAACATCTATAATAGATGTTGAGTGGTACATCTTCTAGTAACGTTTGCAAATCGTTTTGAAGAAAATCTAAGTAGTTGTCGCCATTTAATGTTTCAGGCAACTCAAACGGTCCAATTATTTGTCCATTTAAAATTCCGGTCCACATGTTGACTTTGAATTGGTATTGGGACCGGTCGTCAGGAATTAAATGCGGGTTTTCCGTGTGCCAGCCATGTACATTGTGCAAGTTTAAATAACCATCTTTTTAAATTTTGTTTCGTCAGTCCATAAAATTTTGTTTATAAATTGCGGATCTTCACGATTTCTCGCCAACATTGTTCTGCAAAAATCCATTCTGAGAGAGTAGTCACGAGGTAATAAACTTTGTACACGTTGCACATGATACGGGTGATATTCGTGTTGCTTTAAAATTCGATGAGCAATACTTTTCGGTATTCCAGTGGCTCTTTCAATCACACGTACTGAAGTGCTGGGATCATTTCGAATTTCTTCTAAAATTACGTCGTCGTCGTCTCCATGAGTTCTTCCACCGCTCGTACGAGCACTAGGCAATCGTCTTTCCGAGTATGCCAGGTGTACATTGACGAACACGCGGTGATCTGGGTGACGCTCTAAGTTTGGGTACCTCTCGCGATACAATCTGGCTGCGGCAGAGGCATTACAATAGCATTCACCGTAAATAAGATGCATGTTCGCATATTCTTTCGCTGTGTACAGATACAGCATGTCGCGAAACTTGTTAGTTTTGCTAAGTACTAACTAATACAGTTTACACAACACAAATCGAGTCCAGGGAATAAGCCAGAGTCGTTAACACAGATGCAATATCAAGTCCAGGGTAACACAAGCCAAAGTCGCCAGTACAAAAGTTACACGATTACGAGAAGATGCACAGTAAACGAAGGAACGTAGCGCACTAAATGATAATAACCGATGATCAATAATAGAGCATCGGCGTCACTATCCGTCTCGCTCATTCTAATTCATGTCGCACAGCGTCACTATCCATCTCACTCTATCACATATGACCATCTCACTTCCACGATGGTAAAGCCAATCTTTGAGCACACAAAAGTATTATTTATCATGGCATGAGTTTTTTTTGGAACGAGCTCCTTTTGCAAAAAATAAGTTATAATATTTTTTATGCTTTGAAGAGTGGCAAGTATTGTACCATTTTGAAATCTTGATTACATGGGCCATCTTTTAATATAACTTGCCCAGGGTAGTGTAGTACATTTAAAAAAAAATATGAAGTGTCAAAGCTAGCTGACATATTTTTTTTAAGCTACGACTCAATGAAACTTATTTTTTTTTACTAAACTCATAACGTTTATTGTTTGATTTGTGACTGCAATAAATAGCATGGTTATTTATGATGACGTTAAAAAAATCACTCCATAATTTGAAAATTTGTGATGACAGTACCTAAACATGTGGTCTAGGGTATCGATTTTCAACATTTTCAAAAAAATGCCTATTATCACTTAACTAAGTGACATGGATTTTTTTAATTTTTACCAGAACTGATATAACCTGGCCTCTCGCCCAGTGACCGCTTGACGTTGAGTTTTGGGAAACCCTGTATATTATAACAACTGTGTGGTTCAAATTCTGATATGATACGATTACGTCACGACACAACCTACTACTGAAATAGTAATTAATCATATTAAACCTTTTTCTTCAGTACATGCGTAATATTGCCGAAAGCAAAGGAGCTGTACCCTCGTGTTCTTCTCATAAGAGCGGGAAGGTACGATCCTTCGACACATCATGTAATTGATATAATGTGTTTGCTCTATTATTTAATTCAGGTACGTAAGAACATTCTTTTCAGGGCGCCTTTTAATTTGATGCTTATAGAAGCGTCGCAGTGGCGTAAGGGCACGTTCCCATTATGTCATGATGACAGATAGTCGTGCAGTTTAAAGTGTCGTGTCTTGTATATTTAAATGAAATTGTTCACACATAGAACAACACGATTAACTGTCGTTCACGACTTTTTTGATGTTATGACGACAAACTGTGACAATGGGAAGAGCTAGAATGACAGTCATCCGACAGTAAATAAATCGTCACGGTAAAAATGTAACGACACATAATCGCAGCTTCAAACCATTCTGTCGTGCAAACGACTGCCATAAACCGATAAATTATCGTCACGGTCTAGTGGGAATAGCTAGACAAGCCAGTCGTTCAACGGTAAAATAAACGTCCACGATGCAGTCACGATAGATAGTCGTCATATGGGAACAGGCTAGAAGCGACTGTCGTCCAACGACGACTGCAGCGCTTCAATATGCGTCTAACTTGAAGGCGCTCTAAGACTGAGAGTCGCGATAATACATTTAGCACATTTCATTTTCTATTAAAAACAATGAAATTCATACAAGAGATAGAGACCCATTGTAAATTCTATTATGTTACTTTGTTGACGTAAAATTACAAGGTAATTGTGGTAAGTAACCGCTGTGACTAGAGACTGTGTCTATAGTTACAGAGTTCAACTTCCTTCCTCTTTTGTAGAGATGATGCCATCCTGATTTTATTAGTTCATGGTTGGAAGAAACAGTCACAGAATTACGCATTTGAAAGTGCCTTGTCAAGGACTGGATGACCAACATTTTTCTGTGATCTCTTTACTAGCTGAAGTAGCTCCAAGAATTGCAACTATTTTGTTTGTATAGTATATATGTCTAATTATCCTCAGTCAGTTTAAAGAAATATGGTGTGTGATATGTAGTTTTACAGTTCTACTTTGTTTAATTTTAGATATTGCTCGTCGAAGATGATACTGCGACTGTGGTGGGCATAAAAATCGCTACCGATTATGAAGGTGTGTCTTTAAAGCATTTTTCTCAAGCAACACCGACTACACTCAAAAAGATGATTGCAGTATGCCAGGTAAAAGGGCTTTAAACATATTGGCCTAGGTCCTATCGGCCATTTTGAAAAATGTTAAGAAATCAAACTTAAGTTCTGGTCATTGTAAAATGAAATAAAGTCTTAATTAAATTTTTATTGAATTGATATTCAATTATTTTTTTGTGAAATTACTCCACTAGTTTGTTATAATTATTAATACAAAGATCGAACACTCAGAAAAAATTCCTTCGATCCGGTCGGATTCGAACCGACGTCTTCTTGCATGAAATAAAGTCTGTTTAGTGCTTAGACTATGGAAACCAATGGACATGTTCTATTGACATATTTAAATCAGACGTTATATGTATATGATGCTTATAAACGTTGAAAACATAAACATTTTATTGTCTTTGTTTAACTACTGCGTGCCGTCATAAGCCAAAAGAGATAGCACTACATTGATTGAGGTCAAACACGGGAATCGAAAATACGTAACGTCATCTTAAATGCCAACTGTCCTCATTTTACCATTGAAGTACCCTTTGATAATAATGAAGTACAACAAAATGTCAAAACCAATGTTTGGCTACATGTTTTATTGAATTATTCACATGAATTGTAATGAAATTGATAAAAATATATATAATAGTGAGAACAATTAAATATTGATTAAAATTCGTCGCTGTAACATTAAGAGGTGCGGCAGTAGAAAATCGGAAATCTACCGAAGGTTACATTACACCGGCATGTGTTATTTTTCTGCCTATAAATCATACAATAGCCCAAATATCTCATGTAATTAGACTCATTTAAGTAGTTTATTCATAAGTCTTGCCGAATTTTGCTTTGGTTACTTCAGATTGCCTGTTTGTTAGTATTTGTTATTTGTTAGTATTTTGATGATTGTTGACAAGGATTATTCTGAGACAGTGTTGTTCTAGAAAGCAGACATATTATCGATATTCTGTTATTAAAACAATTCGCTACGAAGTTTTTATTATTACATTACCTACAATTGAAAAAAGAAAGAAAGAATGGGTGGAAATTATAGGACTGCCGAGTATAAATATTGGCTCAAATACCATCTTCGTTTGTTCGCATTTGCATGTCGATACTGACTTATCTATGATTATGGTACAACACTAAATCCGCCATTTGTGGTGGAAATTTTTGGTTTAGGTAGGAACGTTTGTTCCGTAGATAGGGCAGCTCCTTTTTTTATTTTTTTTCCATCCTCTAAGGTTTAGTGTATACATTTCAGATCCGAATGGTTTTCAAATACGATTTTAAGTCTTCTAGTTTTATTTTAGCGTTATTCATTTGTTTTTGTGTAGGTTATTTTTCATTCGCTTTGAAATCCAACATGCGGTTATAAATCGTATAATTATTTTACGAGTTCTGGCGCGCTAATGCAGCGCAAAAGATTCGAAAAGTGAACGAAATGTATAGAGTGGAGTGCATATATCTAACAAAGCATTATGGTTTGCCATATTCCGCAGTAGCAATTTTTTTAGCTGGCAAATGAGCCTCGACCAGAGCTGTGCATGACGACGAGTGACGAGTTCTGGTTCAAACCAAACCATTGCAACATGCAGAGAAATATCATAAAGTACATTACAATTGTTCGTTCTAAAACTGTGTTGTAATAATTAATCGAGACAAACATGAAGGAGGTTTAGACCGTATCATTATTTTTCATGAGCAATCGATTCTTTAAGATCGCAAACGTTCTACACAGAGCTTCAACCGTGTGGAGAAGTCTAAACAGTGTTAAAAATAATTTTTCGCACAGAAAATTGCTGGTAACCATTAGTGGTCCAATCATATTGTCTTGGTTTCCTTAGTTCTGGTGTAACCATGACTGTAGTTTGCTATTGTGAAGGAATACGATGATGACACAAAAACCGTAGGTTGATCAGCCGATCTTTTCCCCCTACTTCTACTCGACAACGTTAGAGCGCATACTGTTAGCTGATCCATTATACCTTTACAGCATGGCAGAGCTTTAAATTGCAAAGATCTCAGATCACTCAGGCACTACCACTGCGCCCGTCACCCTGAGACATAAGTTGACAAGTCCCGTGTGCCTGTAATTTCACCAGCACCCTTACCTGACATTACTACTTGGCGACAGAAATAGGCAAGGTTACAGTACTACACCCTGGACGAACTCTTTCACAAGGAGCTCAACTGTTACTAAAAACTACTTACCTATCGACCTACTGACAACACGTATATGTACATAATATATTTTGCTTGAATAAATGATATTTTCTAAAATATTTTTTACGTAAAACGACAGTTTTCTACATTAATACATGTGCAATATAAAGAAAAAGATAAAATTGCCTAAACTGACTGGTTTGTGAGTTGTTGACTGTCTCGGAAACGAGCTATTTTAATATTGAAAGCAGTGCGATGCTCAAAAATCTTTTGGCTTGATGGTTTGCATGGTTTTAATTTCAGGATTCAATGCCTTTCCGTCTAAAAGGTAGTCATCATGTAAATATACCGGCCGGTATAGAAAAGATTTTTACACTTATAAGAGGCCTTCTAAATCAGAAAGCTAGGGACAGAGTAAGTATACATGGTCTGACTTATTAAGTATACAAATTTTTTAGCACTTTTTCTCTATTATTATGTTTTGCGTAGATAAACATCCAAACTTATAAACATCTAAACTTCCATCTTACTAAACTTATATAAACATCTAAACTTAAAGTAACGTATAACTCACGTATTTAAGTCGGATTTTTGCTCGACATGTTTCGTATCACTATATGTGTATATAATATTCAACCTATTGTGTAGACATCCGTTTCTAAAACATTTCTCCTTTTTCAGCTAAGGATTCACAAAAATAATGAAGAGCTGTTGCAACATCTTCCAAGAGAAATAGTGCCTGCTGAATACGGTGGGGATGGTGGGACGTTAAACGAAATTATTGGTACGTTTTATAATATTCATTAACAACAGATATTAATCTCGCCGTCGATTTTTGCTTTACGGGCCGTTTCAGATAAGAAGTTTTAGACCAGTGTTCAACGTGCGATTTCATAACGCGCGCGATTTTATAACGCGCGCTTATGACTAGAGGAATTTTATTCATAAGTAGTCGTAGGCGAGCCCATGCTACTGCGCGTCAGCATGTGTATCATCTGAACCGGCCCTTGGAGCAAGTGACTGCAAATATATAGTAGTAGAAGACCTCTTTTGCATTAGGGAAGTTAGCACTGTTTTACAGGCTTTAGTTTAGGTCAAGAGTCCATATCATTCTTAGATGATTCTTAGCTTATTTGTATTTTTCTTTAAGTGACTTAAACTCGCTTTTGTGTTGTAGAGGCTTGGGCCAATAAAATAATAGAATACAAACAATGGTTTAAAGAAGAGGAAGGATTCGGTACGGATGAATCTAAACGGCCAGGGAAGGCGCAGACTGCCTCAGAAATGTTCGGTGTGGGAGTGGACGGATCATTCAGGAAGTTGGATATTGACTGATGCGTGATTTATAATTTATTAGATGTAATATAAATGTGTTCTATAAAAATAAACTTTCCTTGGAATTGGCTTAAACCACGTTAAAAAAAATCTATTGATTATCAAACTTTCTGTAGGTTTACGTTTCTGCAAGGTACTTATTTGCTATATTAAATCTATTTATGTCTAAAAAAGAACTACGTCCATAATTTTATTTTAGACCAAAGTATGAAGAAAATGAGCAAAGAACGTTCATAATATATGAATTTAAATTTTATTTCATTATTCATTTGGAGTACTGCAACGTACTATTTATACCGAAATTCGTTATAATAATTACAAATCTTATCAAACGAAAATTATAACTCATACAGGATTAAACCAGACTCAGATTTTAATAATTGAATCAAATATAAAGCAAAGTGGAGATACCAAGAACAATCATAACCGGCAATGAAACTTGGCCGAAAGGCAGAGGGACCTAGCGTTCTGTTAAATCGATGTGCCGTCGACTGTACAGCAGTTATCAGTGTAATACGGATGGAGATAGGAGATAACGCTATTGAAAATTTGTGCAATATTTTGTCACTTGTCAATAGTTGTACTTATCACTATGAATAGCGTCTAACATTGACATAGTTTTACATGTAGGGCACATCGTGGGAATCAATTTAATGTATGACATAAAGATGGAAATAGTTGACCAAAAAATTATTTGTAATCAAAAGGATTCCCTACAGGAGTGTGACCGGGTTCTAATTGTAGGGCTTACCACTAAGTTATGATGTCACATGTTCTTACAATAAAAGTGGATTTATCTTGACGTAGGAAAAGGGTGTTTCAGAGTGTTGGTTTTCAAACTTCGAGTCATTTCGGTCCTCACAACATTAACATATTTCATTTGACATGGATTGTAAGAACAAAAAATGAGAATATATAATAATATATTTTTACGATATATTTTGTGACGTTTATATTTAAACAAATAAGAATTACACATAAAGTAGTAGTCTTACTCAACCTTTGTTGAAAATATCTAAATTAAACAAAATGCATTTTTTTACATTTAGTTACAAAGCAAAAACATTAAAAACTTTTTCAACTGAACTATACGTACAAATACGAAAAATCAACCTCAAATAGCGGAATCGAATCTACATTGCCCTTTTGTAGTCTACATTCACAAGTAGAATTGTCTTTTATTCTAATTTTATATAGACGTATATAAACGTTACCAGTTTACTTAGGTTTCTGCGCTTAAAAAAACGAGGCTGATGTGGTATGTCTGGTTGAATCCTATTGACTTAAAATAATAATCCTTTATATGGCTGGTTATCGTATCCGCGGCATCCCCTTTTTTTTTATAAAAAATATGTGCGCATTTGACCTCCATCTCACCTGATGGAAAGTGACGATGAGGTCGAGGATGTAGCATGCACACCTAAATAATGCCTATTCACTCTCGAATTGAAAAGGTCCAAGTTATAGCGTTCGGGGAACAAGTCTGCAGGCAGGGAATTCCACTCCCTAGCCGATCGCCATACAAATGTGGAAGCGAAACGCTTCGTGTGAATCCTGGGAATATCCACAACCTAGCCCGCGTCTAGTCTCCCGATGATGGAAAGGGGAAGGCGGAAATTATAGAATTCCATCGCACTCTTCGTCATATATCCTGTAGATCATGCTGAAATCTAGGTATCCTCTGGGTTATGCTGAAAATCAGCGGTTTGCTCCTGAGTGAACAACGACGTTGAGCTATGGTCTTTTTGCACTGCTACTGCACACATACATAACTAAGCCAGGCTGTGCTGCGACTCTGTTTTTTCTTTTTATTATAGTACATATTTTTCTGTTATGTTTTTGTGTCTGTAGATCCAAATGAATGTTTTATTTATCTGTCTATCAAGATACGGACGTCACTTTATTTCCATGTAGACCGATATGAAAAGATAATAAATCTATGATACGTTTTAATAATCCGATTACTGTATAAACAAAACTATAATTTGATAACTAGGTGATTACAAAGTAATAATTAATTGAATTTGAGACAGACATGAAAATATCAATTTAAATAATATTCTACTTGAATGCAGCTGTACCTGGAGTTCATTACACAATATTCTTAGGTGCATCTTAGGTGTATCCAACGACTATATAGATAGTCGTTGGGTATATCGTATATTTTTTGTGAAACTGTTATTTAATAGTAAATACCTAAACCGTTTGATATAGGTACAAAACAATTTTTACCGCTTCTCGCGTGTCTCGTCTATTTAAGGAATTAATAAAAAGATTTGTAAATAACAGTAAATCCGTGAAATAAAAGAATTCGCGTTCTTTTATCACAAACTTTCTTCTTCTACCTTCTATATTTTCATGTATTTCTAATAATTATTTACGTATACTCGTATATCTATTAGATTCTCTAAAGTAAAAAAAAACCACTTTAGTAGATTTCATAATTGACTATTTATAAATCAGTCGTAACGAAACAAATGACTGTTTGTGACCTTCAAATTTATATGAGATGCTACAATCTGCTGTACGCCACATCTCGACGCGACTGTGCAGTAGATAAGACCATAATTAGCTCGTCCCTTTATTTGTTTAAGAAATAGTCGGAGCGTTGTAGCAAGTTGCGATTCACGTACTTTCAGTTCAATGTTATGGGTATAATGGTCTTTTTAATTTAGTTGTGTCATATGCAGGCAATGCTGCTCATGAGTAATGAATGTTGGCAATCAGTTTCAGCGTAACGTGGTTAAAATACGTAAAATAGGTTTCATTGTGTTTGTGAAGTAACGCTGGGTTTCTTCAACACAGTAAGTATAAAATGTTTCCTTTTATAATACCTACAGTTATTTAAATAAAGATTTCTTTGTTTAGTCAACAGTTTGTATTGAACAGTGCGAGGTATTGGATTATTGATTAGTAAGTAGCCTTTGGGTACATAGCGAGTTTTTTGTTTTAATATAACTGTGATGTGTTGATTATCTAAACACCAGTAAAAACCGTCGTTAGTAAGAAACAATTAAAAGATCTATTAACTCAAAAAGATAATCTTTTTGCGAACTATTTCTGGACAAAACAGTCCTTACTCGAAAATATGAAATTATCTTTTCTCTTTAATTTTTAAATATACTTGGCAAGTAGGAAACTGCTTAGATGTCTGTAATAAACTTTAACCTGTACATACATTTTTATAATCGCATACGGGAAGTGAAGTAATTCGTATTTCATTGATTTTTAAAAAAAGAACTTTTCAAAAATATCGAGTTAATACACTATTGTATTAACTGTGCTATATTCGTCGGAGATAGTGCAAATCCACATATGTAGCGTTGGCAAAAGGCGCGTACCTATCTGCACAAACCAAGTTTCTACAGGAGAGGGATTTAACGTTATTACTTTGTTATTTCAATGGTTACAACTTTCATTGTTGCACAGTAAGCATTAATTTATGTTGTCTACGGACTGGTATCAATAGATTCCCGTAAATCATGCTAATTTGGTTGCCACGACATATACGCGGATTTGATTTGAACCATATTTGAACACTAAATGACCGAAATGGAAACTCATAATCAAATTCTAGTTACGCGTAATCGCACTGTCCCCGATGATAATATATGATCATTTATAAGCAGATTATGTAACTATGTACCAAGGTATGTAGCTATAGATGGCCTTATTTAGATTTCTATGATATTTATACAAATTGTTTCCATGCTTTACTTCCATCTAAGTGCATATCTTTAATTATATATTAATTACGCAGTTTTTTTACCAAGTTATTTTTATTATATTCACCTGTGGTTACAAAGCAAGACAAGTATATTTTGTCCTTACAAATCAGAATTACTTTAAGTATAATAAAACAAACCGTAAAAAACTGAATTCTTTTGTCTTTAATTTCTTTATTGTTAAAATTATTATAACGATTCTAGCGCTTGAAAATACAGTAACATATGAATATTGGATTGGCTAAGTATTATTTACTGGAACGTCAAGGAAATTATACACATAATGTGGATAAATACCTTGTTTTGAAATATACGCGCGTCGTCGTCGACACGTATAAAACACACCGTGACTTAGTCCCGTGCGCGTTAAAACTATTTTTAAATATGTTGGTGCCATATTTCAATATTTAGTATTGAGTGATACTAAAAGAAAAAAAAAATTGTGTTCATTATTTTTTCACCAAAAATTACAAGGTTATATATATTTTGAATTTGGAAGGTTGTTAAAAAGTCATTACATTAGATGTGTGTAACTATTTTTGATTAGTTATACCTACACACATCAAAAAAAGTTTGCGATCACTTCGAAAAACTGAAATCTTTTTTGTTACTGTAGATTATATTATGATTTTTTCTTCTTTTTAGATTCTTTATTTAAAAATAAATTAGAACATAAAACAATGACCCCGTTCAATTGTTTTTTCATATAAAAAGGCTTTCAGTCCTAGCTTACGCTCATTCAGAAATCTGATTTACTCAATTATAAGCGATTCAAGATATTTTTCGCGGAAAGTTGTGATTGAAAAAATGCCAAGAGGATTATCAGAGGTTTTACGAGCTAGAATAGTAACTTTGAGGGAAGAAGGATACACCACGAGAGTAATAGCACGCAGACTTGCTATATCCCAATCCTGTGTCGTGGCTACGTTGCAGAGGTATCACGGAATGGGGAATTTAGCTGACCGACCCCGCAGCGGTCGCCCAACTGTTTTGACAGCTGCCCAAAAGCGCTATATTAGATTGCTGGCAGCCCGTGATCCAACAATCAACGCCACTAAAATAAAAGCAGAAGTCAGGGCCGCCTCTGGGCTTGAAGTTAGCACGCAGACCGTTCGCAATTGCTTGCACCAGGCTGGATTACGAGCACGGAGGTCTTGGCGAGCTCCGCTCAATTCCCGGCAACGTCAACAACGAAGATTGCAGTGGGCTAGACTTCGGCAAAATGAAGAAGGTGAGGACGAAAACATTTGGCAAAACTGTCTCTTCATTGACGAATCCCGAATCAGCACTCATCCAGATAACCGACGTGTCCGTGTCTGGAGAAGACCAGGCGACCGTGAAAGACAAAGAACTGCCACTGGAACAGTTCAGCAAGGCGGAAAATCGGTGTCCTTTTGGGGTGGCATTATGATTGGAGCTAGAACGCCTTTGATCCCGTATCGGGGCTTCATGACAGCAGACATGTACAAAGCAGTTGCTATTGATGATATCGTCAGACCATTCCGAGTAAACCATGGGCACCAATTTTTACTGGTCGATGATAATGCGCCCGCACATCGAGCTCGACGAGTCAATGCTGCTCTTCAAGAATACGATATCACACGATTAGACTGGCCTGCCGGCTCGCCCGACTTAAACCCAATAGAGCACGCGTGGGATGCTCTTAAACGAGCAGTATGGAACTGTGAGGCACGTCCCCAGACAGTTCCAGAGCTCAGGGAAGCCGCTATTGAAGAATGGGATAGGTTACCCCAGGAAATGCTGGATAACTGGTTCCTCAGCATGCCCAGGAGGATCTTCGCATGTATTCGTGCCAGGGGAGGAGTTATTTTATATTGAATTCACACCTTTTAATAATAAATTGTTGTTTAAGTTTAATTAAACAGTCTTTTTCTTTCTATGAAATTTCTATCACTATTACATTATGATTAATGGCTCAATTTTTTAAAATAAATAATAAAAAATAGTTTTATATTTTAATTTCAAACAGGGTATTCCTATTTAAAGAAAGCATACAACATAGATTTTATCTTGATAAAGTTAAAGTTAAAGAATTATAGGAGCTTATGCTATTGATCGCAAACTTTTTTTGATGTGTGTACTTCTCAGGCCATTTTCGCGCTGATTGAACCTATTAGGCACTATAACTACCTAGTCGTAACTGCTGGAGGCAGATAGTAGTAAACTGGTAATGTAAATTTGTTGTATGTATTTTTTTATAGTATCAAGTGACAAGACGAACAAGTTGTGCACCTGATGGTAAGCTACACGCCTGTCCATAACAGTTGCAGTGCCACTCAGAGCTTTAAATCTAGCGAACATCTAAGGGGCACTGCCACTGCGCCCGTCACCCTGGGACATAAGTGCATGTGCCACCCTGAGATGTAAGTTGACAAGTCCCATGTTCCTGTATATCACCAGCACCCTTAAGGACTATCCACACATCAGGGCCGTGTCCGGGACGTGGACGGGGCGTGCTAGTTTGTAGGAACTGCGGGTCCGTCCCGGCGCCAGATTGGACACGGACATGTGTGAACGAGTTCATACAAAATAAACGCAACGATATTTTTTTGAGCCCCTGACGGAGCACGGCCCCACGGTTCACGTCCCGGGCACGGCCCGGATATGTGTCGATAGACCTTAACCCTTCAAAACTGGAACACAGTAATTCTGACATTACTGCTGACGGCAGAAATAGGTAAGAAGCTCTACTGCTACAAAAATGTATACATTCAATTAAGTAGAAATACCATAATCGTACCTTAGGGTAGCCTGGTTTAACACGACACACTTAAGGTTTGAGACGGTCCAGAATGAAAACAAAAAGTGTTAGAAAATCAGCTATTGCTTTATTTTATAATCTACTTATCTGACTCTTACATACTAACGTGAAAAGTAGTTATATTTAATAATGTGGTTGTAATTGATAAAAAGTGCAAAATGGGATTTGCGTACTCTGACACTGTACTATGGGTAAGAGTACGCACGTGTGTCGGCAAGAGTACGCAACACCTTTTTTGATAGGATTTCGTTTATCGGTTGCACGAATCACCTCCATACCTTCCTGGTAATGTGATTTTTTGTTTTCGTATGCATGGACCTTTGCTCATGGAGCAGAGCTGTGAAGAGTCTACTTGTGGCACGGACATACCTCAGTTAGTGTGGTGGTGGTGTTTTAAATCTTCAAAAATACTAGACTCTCGCAAAAGGTTTCCGTTGATTTAGAACGAGGCTTACCGGCGGAAATTTAATTCAGAAGTACACTGTTCTAAACAAAATGGTCTGAGACTACGCATGTACTCTTGCAATACGTCGAGTTGCGTACTCTTGCATACTTCAGCCATTTCAGAATAAAACTACTACTAACCCCATATGTTGCACGTGACGAGAATCGTTTGCAGTTTGATCTGTAGACGAGTTTTTGGGCGATTTGATACAAAGATAGTTTTAAAAAAATATGCTTGGTTTCGTCTCAGCAAAAATTTTAAATTACCAAAAATTTTTATGCAAATACATAAACATTTTCAGACTTGGGTAGTGTCGTGGTTTCCAATATTTTTTAAATATTTTTCCGCACAACAATCTCCACTTCCTATCACTACAAAATGACACTGAACTTAGTTGCGTATTGTAAATAACTTCTCGGCAATGTACATTGCGTAGACCAAGCTACCCTATTGTTTACCTATTTTAGTGTTATAGATTTAATGCATAATTTAAAATACTAAAATACATAGTTACAATCAAGATAACTCTACAATTTTTTTCAGCTTCAGTATATCTAGTAAAACATTGCCAAGATGACAATTCGACCTTTACCAAAACCTCTTCAGAAGAAGGCCGAGAAGGAAGTTAATGAGGATCCTAAACGAGTGGCTGCTGACATCACAGCTCTTAGAGAATGGTTGAGCAAACAACCACATCTAGAATCAGTTCAACCATGTAAGAGCATTTTAACATATTCCTGGATATTCTTCGCCTTGAGACAGAATAAAAAAGCATCCTTTCAAACCGTTTCGATTATAACAGCGACATCTATTAATTTCGCATAGAACCATGTGAGGCTTTGCATATTTATGCGCCTGGTTCGACGCGACAGAAGTTTTTAGTTTTCTAGTTTGTATACAAGTATATAGTAAAATCCGATAGATGTCACTTTATTTAAATTTTAATAAAACCGCTATTGCAAACTCAAAAAAAACAAGTTTAATGTGTAAAAATTGAACGTTGAATTTTAAAGATGTGATACTTTTTAGAATAGGTATGCTTATTCCCTATAATAATTGAATCCTTTTGTTTGTATTAACAAAACCATTTTTTTTTCAGCGGACCAATGGTTAATTGCTTTTTTGAGAGGTTGCAAATTTAGTTTGGAAAGAAGCAAGGAGAAATTTGATATGTACTATACCCTAAGGTCCATTGTTCCTGAGTTCTATTCAAATAGAGATCCAATGGATAACAAAATTCAGGAAATATTAAAATTAGGGTAAGTTCTGTAGTAATTAGTAACAATTTAATGAATTTATTTATTGGAATTTAATCTTTAAACTTGCGCAGTGTACATTTTCTGATTTGGAAATATTTACGGGAAGATTTTGTCGGTAAGTCAGTCTGTAGTTTGTGTTTTCTAAAGCGATTGACTGATCTTTAAAACGGTTGTATTATATGAAAGGCTAATTTAATCGGGATGGTTCGAACATGTTCTGTTGTTTAAAGATCACCAGCTCTATTTCCTGTTAGTGTAGGAATCTTAGTCATAAACCGAGTGTATAATGATGGTATAATGACTATAAACACTAATTTTATACTTGTTCGATTGAATTGAAAATGGAAATCCGATGACATTAAAATAATAAAGTAAACTTGATCTGATGTCATAACCAGGACAGTCTGCGCACTACGTAACTTCTCAACTAAGTAGGTACTTACCTTCAGAAGAACTTCGTGTTTGGGCTCATTAAATTGATCTCGACGAGTTGTTAGTTTATTATATTTCTAATTATATAGTCACCATCTAAGCTTTGTATATATAGAAAACTTATATATATATAAAAATTATAGGAAATGAAACTATTTTTCCGGATTTAAATCGCATATATTTGCTTTTCAAACAAACCGACGTTTCGGGCCCTTTACAGGTCCCATGGTCACGGTTGACTGAGACCTGTAAAGGTCCCGCAACGTCGGTTTGTTTGAAAAAACAAATATACGCGATTTAAATCCGGAAATATAGTTTCATTTCCTATGTGTAACAATCGCGAAAACCTAAGAACTCGATATATAAAAAATTATCTTATAGATTTTTTAATTCCACTTTTTTTCTATCGGGTGCTTAAATTTTCATTTAAGGTTCTGTTTCTTTATTGTTGTTATTTATATAATATTTATAATGACCTCAGATCATTACTGTTTCGGTTATTTCAGTGTATTCCTACCAGTAAAAAATTGCAAGGATGACGACTCTACAAGAGTTTGTATAATGAGAATTGGTATATTCGATTCCTCACGATATCATTTGTCGGATCTCATCAAAGTAGCTCTTATGATTTGTGAAATACTGATGCTGGAAGATGACAATTTTACAATAATTGGCGAGGTAAGTAAAGTCATTGACCTACCATTGCGCTTATGGGCTAAATTGCGTTACGTGGGTTGTTTTTTTATAAAAACCATGGACCAAATGGATATCAATGAATTTATCTTTAATATGAAATGTAAATAGCGAGTTCTTAGGTTTTCGCGATTGTTACACATAGGAAATGACACTATTTTTCCGGATTTAAATCGCGTACTTATATTTGTTTTTTTAAACAAACCAACGTTTCGGGCCCTTTACCTGTAAAGGCCATGGTTGACTCAGTCTATACGCGATTTAAATCCGAAAAAATAGTTTCATTTCCTTTATGTAAATAGATGGATTTTTATTTTTGTAATATTATTCAAATATTGAGCTAAGACCTAAAATACTATTTTATACTCCTGCACTTTAATCTGTCAATTATTATTTTATAAACCATACGATCGATATCAGTTTAAAGCTTTTTGATATCTTTATCGTTATTAATGGAATAATCGCCTAGGTACACTTAACGATTGCACCCTGATGTCAGTTGTCATCTAATCGTGGATTATATAGATATTACACTTGAAATATAGATATTAATCTGTCTTGTGTCTTATAGAATTTTATTGACATTAAAGCGTTTTAATGCAATAAGTCAAAGGCAGAAAAATAACATTATTCGTAGAAATAAATATATGTCACATAAAAGAGTTAATCATTTTTAAAATTTCAGGAAATAATAGTAGATCTAAAAGACGTAGGTATAAGTATATTCAGCCAATGGACCCCAGCACTAGCGAAGATATCTATTGCGTGCTTCGAGAAGGCGTTGCCTGTACGTGTTAAAAGCACTCATATTTTGAACACCCCTACGGGCTTTGAACCAGCCTATGCTATTTTGAAGGCATTTCTTGGAGAGAAATTGAAAAAACGAGTATGTTAAAATATTTCACTTCTTAGTATTCACTGAATATTTTATACAGCAATTTATTTACGTGGCTTCCATAGCAAGTTATAGGGTCTAGATAAAACTTATTATTTTCTACATCTTCTTACAAAGTCTGTCTAGTAGGTGCCCGTAACACAAAGGTACGCAGTAGACATTGTAATACAGTGCTTACTATGTATTTTTTTTAAATTCTGATTGGGTACTTATGCCGACTAATTGTTGTGTTTACAGCTTTATGTCCACAATCAGAAATACAAAGATATGCACAAGAGCATTCCCAAAAAGGTTTTGCCTGAAGAATATGGAGGAAAAGACGGTACTATTAAAGAATTGACAGGTAAGCAATGGTATCTTTAGACCAAGTTAATTATACAAAAAGTATTTTCGAAACTTAGCGATCGGAAATTCGTGACTCGTCTGTTTCTATTGTACTTGTACCGAATTTTTAAGATTGGAACGTAGACAGCGACTTGTTCCTTGAAGAAAAAATAATGTATTTATGTTAATAAAGTGATGTTTCGACTTGTAACTTTACTTATGTACTTTTATATTCAAAGTTAGTAAGAGGTATAAAATATGCAATATACCTATAAGTTGGAGTCATGTTGTGATGAATATATTCGTTGGTTGGTACCCAATACTATTACGTTTTTTACATTAAAAGGAAAATTGTTCTAGGCTAATCATGATTTGTGTTCTTTTGGCTCTCTTGTAAAACTACTAGCAGCCGAAGTAGTCATTTCTGATTCTATCTACTTTTTTACAGAATACTGGAAGGAAAAGGTGGAGAACTACCGCGATTGGTTTGTTCAGGAGGAAACTGCACGATCTGACGAATCAAAGAGGCCTGAGAAGCCTAGAACTTCATCAGATCTGTTCGGTGTGGAAGGCTCCTTCAGAAAATTGGAAGTTGACTAATATGAAATTCTAGAAATATTGTTAGCTTTAAATGTGTTATTGTTTAAGAAATCTTTGAAATGTTGTTCATTTTTATAAGAAAGATTTGTATAATAAAAGAACAATAATTGTAGGGCAAGCTAAGCATTTCATTATTAAGCCGGGCACTCATAAGGCACGTGACAGATACTGTAACGAGGTTCTACTGTACGCATGAAACAATCGCCACTTATTAGAATGAGAACCTGGTTATCATCGGCTCACTGCGAACCGTACGCGTTCCGCTCGCAGGAACCTCGCAAACCACGTACACAATATAATTTTTGGTAACATGACATGCAACAGTTACGGTTATAGCTCACTAATGAGTACCCGGCTTTACCTACCTACCCCCTAACTCAATACTTCTCTCGCAGTGGTTATTAAATAAAAATGCTCTTGAAATAAAGTTGGGCGGGTTGTATCAAGAAATAATATGTGGGTACGGAACGGTGGCTGATGCGTGGAAGGGAATACTGTGGGAGTGAGAGGAGAGGGGCAAAGGGAACGGGGGAAGGGGAGTACGTGGCGATGCACGCAAGGCGTGAGAGACAGTTTTTGGGTGTGTAAAAACTATAAAACGGTGAAGGTGTTCAATAAAAGGCGTGAAGTGTTAATTAAACTGCTCGTTTCATTTGGAGGCCCATTAGTATCAATCCCACAAATATATGCTATGAAATAATTAACCAACGACTAATACACTGTTTCAGATTTATTGAACTATTTATTATTTTCTGCATTGTTAACCGACTTCAAAAAAAGGAGGAGGTTCTCAACTCGACTGAATGTTTTTTTTTTGTATGTATGTTACGCGATAACTCCGGTATTTGTGAACCGATTTTCATGATTCTTTTTTTGTTGGAAAGAGGGTCCCTCCGTAGTAGTCCCATTTCATTTTGAAGAAAATCATCCACCTCTAAGGGTGGCTGATCACGCATGAACATTCATTTTTATAAATAGCGCCTAAATTTTACTTAAGGAGCAATTATTTTAATGGTTGGTTTTGCTATTCTCATATTCAAGGCGAGTTTTCTCTCTCTATATTCATTGAGTAGTGAGAACTGATTTTTATAAACTCCTGTGTCAAGTCCTGTATAGTGGCGAACTAGGGGATATTTCAATAAAACTTGGCAAATAGATGTAATTCCACATATTTTTGAGGTCGGTTTTTTAGTACTCTGTACTGAGATTATAATATACCCTAACGTCAACATAGTGTTCTATAGATCAACTTCTGTGTTGTAATAATTACAACAACTAGATTCCGTGTAATACAATCTGAGTGTAGTTTCCCTATCGTCTTTAATATTTTTCTTTTGTCACAGTTTGGCACTTTTAAGCTCTATAATTTTACAATTGAATATTTTACCATAGCCTCCTCAGACCAAAGCTAAGGCATCAAGACCGTGGAACAATTGTTCAGGCTAGCTCTGGACAAAGAAAGATTTAGAAAACTGACTACCGACCTTCAGTAATGGAGAGGCACTAGAAGAAGAAGAAGGAATAACATTGTCTGGGTCTGAACCACTTCACAATATTATCATATTATGTTCGTTTTACACTGGGCCGGAGGAGAATAGACTTAATTAACATGGTGACATTTAAGCTTAATTATCTAAAATCACAGAAAGAATTGCACAATTTTGGCTTTGTAGAACTGTATTTTTATGCTCTTTTGCAAATTTTGTGCATATTTGTTTTGATAAACATATTTTAGTGTAGATCCTAGGTGTAGATAGTACTTAAATATGAGCTAGAAATTTGTATAGAGAATATTTTGTTTTTTTTTTTGCAAATAATAGGGCCTGTATAATACGAAATTGCCGCTCTAAGATTAAGATAATTCATACAAAGAAAAATGATTTCAAAAAATAACATTTATTTAATCAAAATGCGCATCCATGATATTAATTTTTTTATATCTATGGTATTAATACACGTAGAATAATGGGAACGGAAACTCACATAGACCTGGTACTCATGTTCGACTGCTTATCAGGAACTAAATTGCTTTCCTTGTATTGATGATGATAATTATCTAAAATGCGGAAAAGAGCTGGTGCTAGAGTCTAACTAGGTTATCACTGTTAAAACAAAGAAGTGTGAAAAGAGTGTTAACAAAGTACCTATTTAGTGCGTAATAATTTGAAATAGGAAATATTCACGTGATCGTATGATCGTACACGTTATGTACACGTGTACATAACGTGTACAAATTTAGTATGAAAAAAACTTTTTATTAATGTTGACGCAACTCTGCTAACCCGATTTTTTCGTACGATTCCCGATTTTTTATTGTATGCAATGAAATGATCCTTACATGAAACTGAGTCGATCAGCACTAAAAAAAATTGATAAATTTTATTCATTTTTATGGACAACTCACATTTGACCAAATAATTGACTATGCCATTATATTTTTATTCAATTAAAAGAAAGTTTTTTTACTTTAATTGTATCAGTTATGTCATCTCTTAACTTATTGTTACCTCTTAAAGTAGTTTAAGCCTCTTTACGAATGTCATATTAAATGTATGGGAGCGTTTAATGCTAAAATTTTGGATAATTCTAGTTTTATTTTTAAAAAGTTATTTTTGTCGATTTACTCATTAGGTAACGTACTTTCGATATCAGCTTAAAGCTTTTTGATATCTCTTATATTTATGGAATAATCGCCTGGGCACACTGAACGATTACATCATGTATATACGATACGCATATCGTTATTTCTTTAGGTAAATAAGAAGACCATTTATTGTACAAAAATAATCCAATAAAAAACTCCAACTACATAAAAACAATTTTGTTTTCCGAAGTAACTATAAAAACTAACCACAATAAAAAATAAGCGCCATAAACCTTTTACTTTAATCCATGCTTAAGGGAGTCACCACACATATTAACTCGGCTTGAGCCGGTCTTAAAAGCTTAAGTCCATGTGTAACAAGAGCGAAAAAGACGTTCCACGTTTCACTGAACTAGACACCTTCGAAACGCACTACACTGGACTAAGATTTTTCTGACCGACTTAATGCGATCTCATGTTGATACTTATGGTGACTCCTTAATATGGCGGAAAACGAATAGGAAGGAACCGTATTCTTGTACTATACTCTTAGGGGCGCAAAAGCACATGCACCATGTGATTGAAAACATCTGTGTTCTTTATTATTTAGCTCGGGTCCTTAATATCATATTTCGTTTAAGACCATACCATGTCATGCGTAACAAATTACAATACGATTGAATAGAAATTAATATGATAAAATAGGAACGTGTATGTATTTAATTTGATAAAATTATAAAAAGGTTTAATTAATTAATTGAGATGTTTGATTACAATTAAACAGACGAACAATATTAAACTAAAACGCATATGTCCCCGGCACATCAACTGCTACGATGGATATTTTTGAAGATGTAGCAGATACTCTTTGAGCAATTTTTTTAATACAAACAACGATGAAGCATTTCTGATTGGCGTTTTTTAAGTTCACATGGGGACGAATAACTTTTAGAATACATACATTATCATCATAATTCAACATCGACTTCTTTACAGTCTTACTTAACCTTTGTTTAAAAGAATCGAAATTAGTTTATTGAAAGAATTGTAACAAAGTGGGAATTATATATCGTCTTGGCCTCACGTTCCATTCATTTTGTGGTCAGACACTCGGGCGACTTTGTGAAAGCTCAGGGTCTACACTCGACGTTTTCATATCTCTTTAGTGGTCGGGGTTTTGCCTGTTCGTCTTTTGGCTGTTTCAGTTTCAAGTGGCAAGACGTTCTTTGTCATATGATTGTCAACCCTACGCATAACGTGACCTTACCAACGTAGGTAATCGGTTTTCCCTTCGTTTTTCCTGTATTCGTGCCACTTTAAATGGCCTTTGAATAAATTTGTTTCTACTTTAGCCTAACAGGGCATCGCCTCCTGCCTAACTCAAATATGTGCATTCCGATTACATACGTAGGATGTCCATTAGTATTATAATATACAAGTTATCGTGTCAAGCAATACACGGCAAGCTAAGTGTTTCGTAATTTCATTACAACAAAAATTTTTCGATTGTTATCATAGAAAAGGAAAATTATTCGTTTTTCAATATAAATAGCTTATTTTGCAAAGAACAATTATAATGCCTGGAAATATTTATTTAAAATGTAATGCACATAGTAAATTATATGTATATTTTTATGTTATTAACTTCAAAAATTACAAAATAACCAAAAAAGTCTTTAGGTAGTTTTTTTCTCAAAATACTGTTTTTTAAGTAAAGTGTATTGGTTTAACACGGTTGACATTAATCTTTAATCTAAATTGGCACTCGAGTATCCCACACTGGAGTAGGTACTCCAACTGTATTCCAATCTATTTCATCTAGCCCACATTTTTACTATTAGTGATATTCTTGTTAATAGCGGCAGAGACGGAATAAAAAGAAAGTTACAATTTTTATTTATTATTTTGATTTTTCTGTTTCAGACCCAGTATTTTATAAAATTTGGTGAAAATGGCATTCCTACCTCTTCCAAAACATTTTGAATGGTAGTAAAAGAAGCCAATAAGGACCCTAAACATGTGGCTGCACTATGTATATATCACAGATAAGATTTCAATCAACAACGATGAAAACATTTCTTGCCTTGTATATTTTTAACAGCGACATCTATTTACGTTGCTTAGAACTATGTGGAGTTTCGCGTAGTTAGTAAGTACATTATGCTGCGATCAGGAAAAGTACAAGTACAAAGAAACTTTGCTAGATGTCGCTTTATTTAAATTTCACTAAAACCGTATTTATTTACAGGTGCAACAAAAATGGAAAGTTGTGATTTGTTTTAGGGTATACTTATGTACACTCCGTATAATTAATTCATAACAGAACACGCGTTTTTTTTTTCACCTGACCAATGATTAATAACTTTTCTAAGAGAATGCAATTTTGTAAGAAGTAAGAAGAAACTCGTTACGGTCTATAATTTAAGATCCATTTTCCTGTGTTCATTGCAAATAGGGTATTCATAAAAAAATTAAATTCGGGTAAGTTTTGTTGTAATAAGTAATATGCATTTGCAAAGCATTTGCAGTGAATAACTTGCTCAGTGTAAGTTTTTGATTTCGTAATCTCTAAGGAAAGAAATTACGAGAGGATAGATACACAAAATCTGATTTATTTGTTAATAATACATAGTTAATTATGTTTGTGATAACCAGTCAAGTGTGAATGTTAATTTTCCGTTATTATTTTTTCTAGTGCATCCTTACCAGTAAGAAATTGTTAGGATGGCGGCTCTCCAAGTTTGTATAATAAGAATTGTTACATTGCATTCCTTATTATGTTTATCGGATCTCTTATATTCTTATGATTAGCGAAAAACTGTTGCAAGTACGTACGTAACATTCTTATTATATCCAATTGCTCCAATCCCTCCAATTGCTTCCGAGGCCCCTACCGCCCTAGGAGTCTACAGGGGGTGGCGGTAGGGACCACTTTGGGAAACTATGTTCTAATACTATTGTGGCCTGGCAGTCAGCGACGCCGACTGCAGTCAGCGACGCCAACTGCGACACCAGAGTTCACAGGGCACGATTTGAGGTGGGCCATCGTTTGAATCGCACCGCACAATCAATTCAGGTTAGAAACAACCTAAAAATCCCCACCTGAACAAACTGTCCTTACTCCGGCCAACTCTGAGTTCGAAGCCTAATTAAAGACTTCCAGATTGGCCATGGAAATTCGTGTCCAGGAGGAAGACTCTCAGAGGGTATAATAAAGGTAGATGGTACATTTTAAATTGTGAAATTTTCGAATTGATAAGCCGCTACACTCACAAACATCACAACAAAATGTGGAAAGCGTTATATTCTCGTCAAAATATGGTGTGACATATAATAAGGTTGGACACCCCCTGAAATGTAAAGATATAAATCAGTGGTATTTCGTAATTAATATTACAGGAAATTAAGTGTTGATAATATTTAGTAATTAGGTACAAGTAGAATAAATGTGCGTCCTGTACGACTAAGTTATGACATCTTATCTTAATCATTTTTGTAAATTTCAAAAATTAGTACTTAGTAGATCTAAAAGATGTAATATTATGTATCTTCAGCCAGAGTACTCAACTCTGGCGTAGAAATTTATTGCATATTTCGAGAAGGCTTTCCCTGTACGCGTAAATAGCTCTCACATTTTTAACAATCCTTCTGGTTTTGAAGCAGCACGTTCTATTTTGAAGATACTTCTTAGAGGAGTTAAATAAACGGGTTGGCAAACAATATTTTGCATGTTGGTATATCCAGCAATTTGTTGATTTACAGCTTCTCAATACACAACATATTTCAATATTTTTTCTACATCTCTCTCATAGATAATCTTTCGTGTAGGTATTTGAGAACTGACAATGTAGATATTAAATAACAGTATGAGAACAAAAACATTTTTTAAATTCTGAATAGGTTTTTGTGTTGAGGAATGAATTTTTTGAAGGGATGGACAATAACTAATTTAGTGGCAAACGGTTTTCCACACCGTGGGCGCTGGTAAGGAGATTCCGAGTTCGATTCCCGGTAGGATCAAATATTCAAAATCAAAAAAATAAAAAACTTTTTAGATCAAAAATTTTCTAAATTGTTTAAGTCTGGGTGTTCTGGGAAATGCCCCAGAGTGAATTCCGTTGCTCTGGTACTCATAGTACAGGGAATGCCCTGGTTCCCTGGTCTCAAACCAGGCAAATTGGTGTGGTTGTCGGGCGCATTATTATTATTATTATATCTATTTTGAAGTCTCGCCTCTCCCAAGGTCTAAAAGATAATTTTGACTTTTTAAATGAGAGAGGCGGTATTCCCCGGCAGTGGCACAGTCGGCCGGGGTCAGGAACTCAGGTTATTATTATGATTGTTATTATTTAATGTTTTTAATTTTATATTTTTATTTATTTTATTATTGTTATTAGTAAATAAATGTTTTTAATTTTTTCTTGAGATCTCATTGGAAAAAGAACTTGCATGAGAGCATTCTCATGAAGTTTTTATTTACAGAGTTTTTACCTAAAGAATTGGAAAAAAGAAAGTTTTAAGGAACTGACATGGTAACTATGGTTTAAATTACAATCTTTGAAATAAGTTTAAGTACACAAATGATGTATTCAAAGCTTGGCGATTCATTGCGTCGTCTTTTGTAATATTATTTCTTCTCCTTTTTCTTATGGTATCGATGGTATACACTACAATGCTTGCCATATCGTGGTGAAAGTCGTACATCGTGGATTTGCCAATAGACGTAAGTTATTCGCCGATTGTTGCCCAAGGTGCGTCAGACGTAGAGGAATGGTAACGTCGTGCGGGGAGGCTCCTTTCGTGTACCCACGGAGCAGGCTGTCTACTCCCGTTCTCTGTCGGACATCCATACGAATTAAGTAATACTCGATCAAATCAAAACACAAGGTCATGTTTTTTTTTATGTAAAGATGGAGACAAACGAGCAGACGAGCCACTTGATGGGAGGTGATCATAGTCGCCCGTGGACATTTGCAACATCAGATGAGCTGCCTGCCAGTCTTTGAGAACCATGTAAACACGCTTCTTAAAGAACCCCATGTCATAGCGCAAAGGAAGATCATTTTACATCTTGCAGGTTCAAGGAAGGAACGAACGAGCTGCCCGCGTGGTCTTACAATGCCAGGCATCTAAGATGTGGGGATGGACTCTACCCCTTTGGCGGGAGGTGCGATGGTGGTAACGAGACGGTGGCACCAGTTCAAAAAGTTCCTCAGAGCACTGTCCAATAAAAAGACGGTAGAACACACACAGAGAGCCAACGTTTCTCCGTAGGCTAAGGGGCTCCACACCGTCTGCGAGTTTGGGATCGTCGACAATACGAACAGCCCTACGTTGGATGGAGTCAAGTGGGTCATACTGGTGTTTGGGAGCTTGTGCCCAGAAATGCAAGAAGTACGAAGTTTCATTTGCATTATGCGTCTTTTAATTTCGTCGTACCCCACTACAATACTACTTTTGAAACTGCCTCCGTGGCCGAACGGTTACCATGCCGAACTGCCACGCAGAGGTTCAATTCCCGGGCCGGTAGAAATATTTGTATGGTCTACATTTATTTCTGTCGTGAGTTTGGGTGTAATTTGTGGTTGTCTATGTGCGTGTCCATGGCACATGGTTTCCCTAGTGCGGAACTATGTTGAGTGTGTGCGTTAAAAAAAATCATACTTACGTACTTTGTAGCAGTTATTCTTTTACCTAGTTATTTCTTATACCATTTGCTTTTTTTTACTGCCTCAGAGGCCGAACGGTTACCATGCTGGCTGCCACGCAGAAGTCCCGCCTTTGATTCCCGGGCCGGGAGAAATATTTGCAGGGACTACATTTATTTCTCTCATAACTTTGGGTGTAATTGTGGTTGTCAATGTGTGTATCCATGATATCCGCGATATAGGGCCTTCCTAATGCTGTGCTATTATTTATTTATTTTTTTACAAAATACTGGAAGGAAATGGTTGGAAACTATTACATTTTTTTCGTCCATTAGGAAAGTGCACGGTTTGATGAAAGGAATAAGTCAAAGATTATTTATTCCATAGGTAAAATAAATTTACACTTGAAAACGTCACATTTAAGCTACTGCTGGTTCATTACGCTGACCTCCCTCAGAAGAACGAGCAAGAAACTCTAGGGATTGCTCTTTTCAAATAAACTTAAATGCTATGGAATACACTTTGAATCGAATTTGTGTGGATTCTGGAGCCGTGTCGTCTTTCCATACATCTTTATCTAACACGTAGTCTTCAATTTTGTAACATGATTTTTCGATCAAAATATTTTTAATGTAGTTTTTAAACTTAGGCAATGATAAACTTAATATATGCTCCGGAATCTTATTGTAAAAACGTATACAGTTCCCCATAAAAGAGTTGTTTACCTTGGTTAAACGAAATTGTGGTACCATGAGTTTGGACTTAGCTGTAAGGTTAATATTATGGATATCTTCTTTCTAATTGAAATTATGTATATTTTTGAATAAGCTTGAGAAGTCCAAAACCTCATCACATCTGTACGGTGTAGAAGGCTCCTTCAGAAATCTAGAAGTTGACTAATACGAAAACTTAGAAACATGTGAATTGTTAAGTCTGATGTTTCGCTAATGAATGAATATTCCAAATGTTGTTTATTTATTATACAAGGAAGTCACGTAATAAATAAGTAATAATTGTATGGCGACCTGAGCATTTCATTTTACTTAAAATGTAAGATGCAGTCATTATGCAACCATCATTCGTTTATCATAATCTTTGTGATCACGTAAAATACGACTCTGTACCGGAGATAATGACTAGATTTAGTAGTAGTAGAGCTCCTTGTTGGAGTTCGCCGAGGGAAGTACTGCCACCTGGCCTATTTCTGTCGCCAAGCAGTAATGTGAGCAGTAATACCCCCAGATCTTTGCAATTTTAAGCTCTAAGTGGCATTGGAATAGTTATGGACAGGCGCGTCGCTAACCACCAGGTGCACAATTTGGTCGTTACGTCACTTGATATTATAAAAACAGATGTGTATGGCGGCGGCGTTTGATTTTCGACCGGACGCGGCGGAGGGATCGACGTGAAATCAGCGAGGCATATATTTTTTTTGAGGAATTTAAAAAACATTGAAATTAATCTTTGTATTCATTGTCAGCATTTTTACACTTTGACTTGTAAATTAGGAGTCCCTACTTAAATTCTGTTAATAAAATCAACTTAAAGAACACCTTTTAAAAAAAAACAAACATAAAAGTAAACGCTAATTTTAATTAAGGCTAAGGTTAAATTATTTTAATGGTAGGGAAAATATTACCCTACCATTAAAACTATTGCATTGAATTTAATAATTAACGAAGAAGCTGATACTTTAAAACAAATTTTCATCGTTACGTAGAAAACGTCATAATCGGCGGCGGCGGCGGCGGCGGCAGTGCGGCACACGTGTCTACTCTGTGCTCGAAAGCAGTGCAATAGTGTGAAGTAAGCGCGATCAGGGCTTCGACCGAGGCGCGAATGCCGCGCGCCGCGCGCGCCGCCACATCTCGTCGCGCGCGGCGGTCGTCAGTTGCGCGTTGTCAGTGCCGCCTGACAGCGCGTTTCGATCGTGCGTGTTGATATGTCCGCGTGCACCCGGGTTCGAGAGCGTGTGTGTAACGCCCGAAGCACCAGCGCCTCGCTATGACTCAAGAAGAACTTTGTCCTCGGCTAGAGGAACAATTGAACTCTTCGTCCGGAAGTAATCCGGAGGACGCAGATGTTATTATACGTCCAGAAAGGGCTAGCGTCAAAGATATGATTTTACGCTTCGAAAGGACTGCTATAAACAGTTTCGGTGGATCTAGTGAATCCCTAGAAAGAAATAAGGACCTAGGCAGTTTGACTAGTGTTTTGAATCCAATTCATTATTTATCACCAGGGACGAGACCTCAAGATAGAAATTCGATTGCTTCAGTGAATTCCATACTTTCAAATGCTTCGGAAATAAGTTTCGAATCAAGTTCTTCTGGTTTTATTTCCGATAGGAAGTCGGAAGTTCCTAAGCCGCATAGACCGGCTCCACCACCACCTGCGCCGTTTAATGATACTCCTTCACCGGAATGTAAATCGCTCGTGGAGGAAGAGATTAGTATAGTGGAAAAAAAGCTTTCTTATACAGTACCAAGTGGTTCGCCAGTGGTAATGAGGCGGTCACGACACCCGCCGGTGATTAGAAAAAAATCTAGTGTCGGAAATTATGGATATTCGGCTGAAACTCTTTGGTCTTATGGTGTTAGACAAAGTGATTTAGAAAAGTTACTGAGATTAAAAAGATCAGAGTTATCGGATAATGAAGAGGAGGCACTAAATTATAATGATAGATCAGAACCTTCTGGTAACGAAAGCAGCAGTGACGATTCCAACGGAAATGAAACATCAGATGGTAAAGAATATATAGTAAATGTTGATGACGGTAGAACCGATACGTTGTCAACCGATCATTCTACGGACACTTTAATAAATGAAGAAGATAGTGGTGATGAGGGAGATGGTGAGAATCTGTCAGTAGTTTCTGATGAACGTAGTAATTGTGATAATGTTAGCATCAAGTCTATTTCATCATTGGAAATGGTGCCGTATCAAAAGTATGACAGCATTACTGTGTCTTCGGACGAGTTTGGATCAGAGGTGTGCCATGCGCCGGACACTGAATTCCTGTCTGTGAGTGCAGTGAATGAGTGGTGTGTATCTAAATCTATACAGCCTGTTTTGATGCCTGTAGAATCGAAGAAGGAGAAGTATCGAAGGTGAGATCACTTAAAATTGTGAGATATCTAATAAAAATATTTGCGATATCGTGGCCTGACTTTGTCATATATTGATAACCGACAGTTTTATCGTATACCTTTTGAGTACCTAGATAATGGTTTGTGCGTTTTTGTAAATTCAAGCAAATTCATGTTATCTAAACAGGTGTAGTAAGTACGTATGTATATATAAGCAATAAAGAAAAGAAGAACAAGATTATGTTTGTACAATACGTTTAAATTGGTATTATCGGATCCATGTGAATCATTAATATGCTTTGTTTCTTGGTAAGACAAGAAAACATTTTTGTCAAACGATGAAATAATTTATAAACAGTTACCGAAACTCGATGTGAATAGGTTCATATTATTGCACAAACGGTCCTGTTTAAGGTTTCACCTCGATGTTTACTCGTATGGTTCGATCGTCAAGTTATGCATTTAAATTCTATATTCGCCTAACAGTTAGGCTTGTTGAAGCAACATAGGCTTGTTGAAGCAACAATACTAATAGGTATTTACGATCTACGCTAATTTGTAATGTTTCAGCAAATAAATTTATTGATGCCTTGATATGAGTCGTTTTTGGTAATATTAAAATAAAAAATTGGAATCTTTAAAATAGATATTATCGCTAGCGTTATTTCGTATGTTTCATTTTGTTTTTGTAGTCATCGGACATCATACGCTGTCTGTGTGGGTAGCAAGGTCGTCCACTGTGTGTTTAGTATGTTGGCTGACTGTTTAGCACGTCGACGGTACAGCGCTGTATTAATCAGCTGATATAAATGGTTAGACAGCTATTACACTTAGCATTCTATTAGCTGGATAGCAATGGCCGCCTTTTTTGGGATGACCATATTGATAGTCATCGCTCAGACTTGCTTGTATTTAAAGTTTGATCCACAGTAAATATAGTTTCTATAGTAAGTTTATTGCAAAATTTAATCTTTTGACGCATCAGAAAATCTTCGAATAACACCATTTCACTTTTATTGTCCTTTTCAATGTATGAGTAGGCATAGAGTTATATATAATATCCTAATAGCCTTCGTTAATGAATAGTCTCACGAATTTATCAGTAATTAAATTATAATTTAAAGACAGGTGTTTTAAAAGTATGATTGGAAGTTAACTGTTAATTGTACTCATTAGGGCGTGATAGTAATTAAATCTGTACCATATAGAAAGTACAGTGACATAAGAAAACGGACTTTCTCGCAATTACTTGTTACCTTTCACTTTGTTCGTGTTACAATTTTTTTAATTGACCTATTTCTACCGCCCAGCAGTAATGTGAGCATTATTGCGTTCCGGTTTTGAAGGGTAAGGATCCTGGTGAAATTATGGCACGTGGGACTTGTCAAATTATGTCTCAGAGTGACGGGCGCGGTGGCAGTGCCCCTCAGATCTTTGGGATGGATGTAAAGCTCTGAGGATCAAAAAAAGGTCATAGCTACGAGTGTTTCTTTTCTATGCTTTAAATTACAGATTTCACACTTAGTTCATAATTGAAGTGTATTGTGAGAAACTATGTCCACACGTTAATCTTTTTTCGATTGCTGTGAAAGTAGGACGCTTAGTACTTAGCACACAGAGTTCTTACTTAATAGTAAAATACTTAAGTAACTGTAATTTCAGGTAGTCTATTACTACACACAATTGAAAAAAAACCTTAAATAAGCTTCTGTATTTTCAAGACTTAGTGTACATAATTTATAAATACCCTTAATAGCGCGCTCTTTGTTAGCCATTAAAAATTTCACGTGTTATAGGTAATTTTGTGTCTTTGTACATTGACGTTTAAACAATAGTTAATAGTCTTTAATCTTCTTTGCTATAATTAGTAAGTCACACGTTATAGTTGGCTCGACATTCGTTAGTTACGAGTGTGGGCAGTTGATTCATTGCCACAAAAAGTAAACATTAAGTAATTTGGCCCTTTAAAGACCCGTTGATGTAAATTAGTTAAATATTGTGCTTGCAGGTGTATATTGTTTAAATATAATGTATTAATTGATTAGAAGACTACTCTTTAAAGGCATGTGTAATACTCACACGAATACAAACAACCTTTTCTTTGTGGGGCTGCCTGAATAAGCAAAGAAACATAAACCGTTTCATAGTAAATGTTTATTTCACCAAATATATGAAATGGCTGTATTTTGCGCAATTTCGCAGGGATTCATGTAGTAAATGTCAGTTCGTGTACTGAATTTGCCCACAGAAACTTTCTACCTAACAAATTAGGGCCTTGTATATTGTATATATTGTTTTTGGTTTTTTATTGGCTATTCGCTGTAAGCGTTCAAGTGAACAAGTTAGATCTCTCTCTCAACTTGTTTAACCACTTAAATTTTCAAGAATCATATTTATAAGTAAATAGATATTTATAACCTAATAGATGTTAGGATCTTAACAAAAAAAGGCTGGATAAGGTTCTGGAAATGTGAGGAACGATCACATTGGGTACCAAAATGTCAGACCGCAAGTAAAGGTTCTTTATTCAACGAGGTAAAATAATTTAATCACGTCCCTGCCTTAAGAGTCTATAATACCTCAGTTCGAATTAAATTGTTTTCCGAATGAAATTTTTTACTAACACGGTTCATTTTGCTTGGATCGAGCGGCAGCGACACTGGGTTTAATTCAGAATTACTTTTTATTGCCATTTAAAAAAATTATATCGTATAGTCATAATGTATTTGTGTACATGTTTTATTTAGTTCAGTTGACATAAATAAAAATCATTGGTGTATGTAAAGTACCTATTGAATACAGCTGTTTTCTAGTAAAATATCGAGGTAAGTTTGTTTTTTTGTTAAAATTTTTAGAATCGTATTTTCACACTGTATATTTTTTTCTATAGTAATTGATTGACAGTTATGCGGAATCAACCAAAGCTATTTGAGGTAGTATAGACTCTTAAAGACTGTAAGTAAGTTCGAGCATCGTCACTAGTAAATGAGTACAGTTTGACAATATTATGACGTATTTCCCTGACGACTCATAAATTCTATGTTATAAAGAAGAACAGAAATATGTAATGAATATTTCTTTACGACAAACAATGATGTCAAATGTTGACCATAAATACAAAAGACCAGAATTTGCAAATATCGCAAACATCGATTTCCAGAGTTAATGAAGGAGGACTGGATTTAGAAATGCCAACTTAAATGCTTCTTATACGTACATACTTATTTACGTATTAACACAATTTTATATTGCATGGTCACCATAGCAACTATTCATTAAGTTGCGAAAATGCAGCAGCGGCAGGATACCTACTCTAACACGCTGACCATTTGTGACTTGTACCGGTTAACCATTCACAAATTGACCATGATTAATTTTATTAATACGTCAAAAAGGAAATCGAACGGTAATGAGTCCGATTAAAATGGTCATTTAGTATAGATCCATTAATTAACATTCAACCGCACAGAGTAACCACAAATGGGGAAAGCGGGGAGAATCGGAGATCAGTAGAAGGGTAAAATATAAAATACTTATTGATAAAACTTTTATTAGGCGCTTTAAGAATATATCGAAAATGACTGATTGGCAAAGTCCAAGTCAAATAAACGTGAAATCGTCATACTGATTAAACTCTACTCATTCTCATTCGTAAGGCAGATTCCGCAGAGAAGAATGAGCAGGCTTGTAATAAACAAACACTTATATCCGCTAATATTTACAAATACATAATATATTCACTCGTACTTGTGCCTGCATAATACTGCGCATGAATCGATATTTACCTATTCAAGATAGTAAGCATAGAAAACAATTACTGCTTGTGATAAAATTCAAATTTTAAGTGAACACTATGGTTAAGTATTAAACAAAATATTCGTCGTGGTGTCATTATTATATACGGCGCACTTAACTATGAAGGACGTAATTATTTATACAAATATCGAACGCTAAAAAATCCTTGAATCCGGCTGGATTCGAAACAGAGCCTTCAGCATACCGTTTTTACGCTCTCCCAACTGAGCTACGAAACAAATTAGCAGAACTTACGAATTTACCTATGTGGTTGTATCAAAAACAAAGATATGCAATCTTCGTTTTTGGGTTTTAACGACTTTTTTGCCGTGCCTGGCGCCATTTGTGAGAAATCTATGGAAGTTTTCTTTGACTCACTTGAAGGATGTATGAATTCTTTAGTCTCTTGAGATATATGCTGCCAATGTGGACAGCTTCTCAGGTTTCAGAAGTTTCGTCTTTTTGGCATGTGTATATTTACTCGAATGCGGAGAAGCCAAAAGATAATTTATAATTATATGTGCGTGTGTATAATATTTATGCATATAAGTAGGTGCTTTTATTTGTTTCCTCGCATACCTTAAATACTCAATCGCTTTGTACATAAATGTGGCATTGTTGGAATTATATCAATTGACAGCGTATCACAGGCCGTATTTAAAAATATAATATGACTTCCGTGATACGTCCTAAGGATTTAGTCTAAAAATCACACAATTCTTTTAAAACTGAAGAGTTTTACGAGTAAGCAATCTAAAGAAAATAAATATATGTCATATCTTAATAATATATTTTAATTTATTTAATAATTACACAAACATTAACACGGTTTTAAACGGTTCTCTTAGACCTAAACGTAACACGTACGTATATATAGTTTTTTACACAAGGATATAGTTGAGGTATGCCGTTATTGTTATTTTAAATAACAAAGACAATAAATAGTCACAATTCGATTTTATTGTGGATACCTGTAAGCCGACGTTCACAATAAATCTTTGTTATATCGTGAGCCGTTTTCAATAAAAACCTGTGGGTAAAAAAGTGAGTAACGTAAAAATTTTAAAAATATGAAACTTAAAGATAGGAAATGAAAATATTTTTTCGGATTTAAGTCGCGTATAGTCTTTATGTCTATGTTAGGTCCCATGGTCACAGCTGACGGCAGTCGAAGGTGTAAAGAGCCCAAAACGTTGGTTTCTTTGAAGAAAAAAAACGATTATACG